CTTTCATATTTTCATCATTTTAATCATAAAATGAGTAAAAACATCTGATAATGATTTAAAATGAGTTTCTTATAAAATAAAATAAATAAATTGTTGTTTGTTTATTTAAACCAGTCGATGAATTTTATGTTTTTATGTCTCAGAAGGTTTAAACAGATTCATTTAACTTTAAATCATGTTTAGTTTGTTTGTTGTTTGTTTGTTTGTTGTTTAATGTTAATTTGTTTGTTTGTTTGTTGTTGTTTAGTGTTTGTTTGTTTGTTTGTTGTTGTTGACCTGTGGAGGTCAAAGGTCACAGCTGAACCTGTTTCCTCTCCTTGTTTGTTTGTTGTTGTTGACCTGTGGAGGTCAAAGGTCACAGCTGAACCTGTTTCCTCTCCTCAGCAGCAGCTGGAGGCTCCAGCAGCAGCAGCAGCTTCCTGTCCTGGACCGAGCTGAGCCAGGATCAGAGGGTCTGCACCCAGGACCCCCTGGACCTGCTGGTGAAGGAGGGTCTCCTGGAGGACTGTCCCAGTCCCAGCGGGGGGTCCAGCGACCTGTCCGCAGCAGAGTCCGTAGACGCCGGCCTGGAGCCCACCCACGACAGTTTGGATGTTTTGGACGGAGTGGGGGGGGAGTGGGATGAGGTCATGGACTCGGAGCCCTCCCCTCAGGACAAAAACCCGCCCACGTCCAGCCCCCCGCCCCCGGACTCGACCGAGTCCTCGTCCCCCCAGGCGTCGGGGTCCGGCAGCTACGGCGCGCCGAGCTCCAACGTGACTCTGGAGATCCTGCACAGCACGCGGGTGGCGGTGGCTCAGTTCTCTCAGGGTCTCGGCGGGGCCGGTCTGGGGGGCAAAGCGGCCTCGGCCTCGATCCCGGTGATCCTGGAGCGCCTGCTGGCCCTGCAGCAGCAGCAGGTCCAGCAGCTGCAGCTCATCCAGCAGATCTGCAGCCAGGTGGCCGGCATGAACAGACCACCGGTCCGGGCCGCGGTCAACCCAGAGTCCAGGTCCGTGTCCCTGCCGTCCAACCCGGGGGTGGTCCGGCCCCCCCTCCTGCCTCTGTCGGGGACCATGCCCTCTGCTGTGAACGGACAGGCTGCAGTGTCTCTGTCTCACAGCGTCCCCTCGCAGACTTTCTGTGGACAGCTGACCTCAGCCTCATCAGAGAAGACCCCCCCGTCCACGCTGCTGCCTCGGACCCCCCACAGCAGCTCTCAGACCCCCGGCGGTCTCCTCAGCTCCCCCKGCAGCCTCACGTTTCTACCTCAGAGCCCACCGAGCAGCGTCATCTTCCCCAACCCCCTGGCCAGCATCGCGGCCTCGACCAGCGCCCTGGACCCCCCGGACCCCCTGACGGCCCTGATGAAGCAGCAGAGAGGCAAAGCCCCCCMCACGGTCCCGTTTGAGCCCAGACCCGGCTCAGAGGAGCCCTTCTTCAAACACAAATGTCACTTCTGTGCCAAAGTGTTCGGCAGCGACAGCGCGCTGCAGATCCACCTGCGCTCCCACACCGGGGAGAGACCCTTCAAGTGCAACATCTGTGGGAACCGCTTCTCCACCAAGGGCAACCTGAAGGTGCACTTCCAGAGGCACAGGGACAAGTACCCCCACGTCCAGATGAACCCCTTCCCCGTGCCYGAGTACCTGGACACCGTGCCCACCAGCTCGGGGATCCCTTACGGCATGTCCGTCCCCCCAGAGAGACCCGTGTCCTCCTGGCTGGACAGCAAACCGGTCACAGGGGGTCTCACGTCCAGCGTGTCCCTGCCTGCGTCCTGTTCTGGACCAGAGGAGTCTGGAAGGGTTCCGTCCTCTCAGTGTGAGTCCTCTGAGCACAGAGGCAGTGAGCTCCGTCTTTCTCCCGTTYCAGACTCCAGCCGTGAGCCCGAGACCACCAAAGCCCTGAAAACAGACCTGCSCCAGACTCCGAGGGCCCACCTGGTCTCAGAGGCATCCAGCGGGGCCCCGACCCCTGAGCCCGTCTCCCCGGCCCCYCTGGACTCTATGCAAGCCTCAGAGACCTCGAAGCTGCAGCAGCTGGTGGAGAACATCGACAGGAAGCTGAGCGAGCCCACCCAGTGCTCCGTCTGCCGCCGCGTCCTGAGGACGCAGCGCCGCGTGCACCCGGACCAGAGGCCCTTCAGGTGCCAGGTGTGCAGCAGGGCCTTCACCACCACAGGAAACCTGAAGACCCATGGGGGGAGCCCCTCAGCCCTGCCGCAGCCCTCCTGTCCCATCTGCCACAGGAAGTTCAGCAACGCTGTGGTTCTCCAGCAGCACGTCCGTGTGCACGTGGGACAGGTCTGCGACGGGCCGGACGTCTCCATGGAGGAGGAGGAGGAGGAGGAGGAGRAAGGAGAAGCTCTGAAACCTTTCATCTCTGATCACAGATGTTTGTCTCTGAGTGCGGACCCCTGCTTGTCTGTGAAGGACCTCAGTAACGGACTCAGAGACGGTCCGCCCGGTTCTGATGAGTCCTCGTCTCAGAACAAGTCTGAGAGCAGCCCAGGTGTGTCTGACTGCTCCCGCTCACCTTCCTCTCCTCCGCAGAGCTGCGAGGCCTCAGCAGTCAGAACTCAGCAGGTTCTGTTCGCCTCGGTGAAGACAGAACGAGCCGAGTCTCCAAAACCTGCAGCCGACCTGAGAGAGGAGCTCAGCAACGAGCAGCCGAAGGCCGAGGCCCCGTACGGCCCGCCGCTGCAGCCGAGCCGACACACAGGTACGAAGGTCACAACTAAAAGTTCAGTCGTGACAAAAGTTAAAGAGGTTAAAGTCCTGAAACACCTTCAGAGACCTGATTCTGAGCTGCTGGGTCCAAAACCAGATTAAAACTGTGGGATAAACCTTGTGTCAGCAGGAAGTGAATTAGAAACGCTCAGATTAAATCTGAATGTTCATAATTTTAAATTTAATTC